GTGGGTACAGGAAAGGTATTGCTCACATCACACAAGATCTTGTGTAGTTTGGTTACTCATGTGACAATGAGTAGTGGATTGAAATATGTATGTAGTTGTTTTGCATCCCTCTTCAGCTACCGTGCATAACTGCAAAACCACAAATGGTTATAATTCTTGGATTATTCCTTTAAAACAAGGGTGCTCAAAAAGTAGATCCCCAGATGTTTTAAAACGACAGATTTCTTAAGGCATGCAAAGCATCAAGGGAGTTGTAGTTCTATAACATCTGATGATCAACCCTTCTTTAAAAGAGCAAAGAATCCTAAATGGTTTTTGCAGTGTGAATATCGGAGAACACTATCACTGAATGGAGAATGATAACTTAGACAGCGCTATTAAACACAACTCTTGCAACAAGCTCATTTATAGATCAAAAGCAACATCATCCTTTCCCTCTCTCCTTTCTTACTTTCTTACTTAGCTGATGAGGAGAAGATTGTCAACTCTGAAGTCATATTTACTCGTATCTTATCTATATAACCTCTACGATGACTAATGTTTATGTATCCAAAGTCATTACCATCATAAAATGTGGTCCTCTAAGAACTCATTACGTACACACCGCAGATATATCCGATGAATCATCCCACACTGCTTTAATGTCATTGAAAATAAAACCGTCCATTACAACTATGACTTCATGGAACTAAGAAACGCTTTTTTAATGTAATTTTATTTCTTTTGCATTTTTATTTTCTTTATTGTTGCTTATTCCAATAGGAAAAAAATGGCGAAATGGACTTTGTTTCTAGGTTTGGTCATCATTAAATCAATTTGTGCAGAGTGCAGATAGAGGACCCAATGCACACATGTAGTAAGGGGCGCGAGTGGGAGTAAAATCATTTTTTTATGGACACTTAGTGCCAGTATGACTCTAAATCCTCTTGCAGCTTGATTTAGGGAGTTTATGGACACTTAAGGGTCTATTCACTAAACATTATATTTGCTTATGAGATCATTTGGTTGTTAAAATTCCTCTGTTGTTCACTGTATTCACTAACAACCGAATGCTATCTGAATTGAGCACAATGGATCCCTACTATTTTCAAATGGATCTAATTGTTGCTGTGAGATGAATTTCAAAATAGCTCAACCATAGAGCAACCAAATTCCAATCGAACTTCAGCTGAAATGTAACTACATCTCTCTGCTACAAAAAATGGTTAAAGGGTATTCAAGTACCATTAATGTGAATAGAATTAGGGAGGCTTAATGGTCTATTCATTAAATTCCGAATGGCAAATGAACAGCAGCCATATACTGCCTTGTTGTCACAATTCGTCTTTTTTAACCTATTTGGCTATTCACAGAAGCAAATTTTATTGTCAACCACATTTTCACTCATTTTCATCTGCAGTTCAGTTGTCTGTTGAAATCAGCTGAACCTTCATATAACATGAGTGATTCAGCTTTTCACAAACAGCCGAATTTCAACTAAATTATAACTTAATTTCGCTAAATTTGGTTGTTACAATTATCCTGATATAAACTAGGAGAATTTCAACTAATATTCTAAGCTCTTAAATCACCCTAATACTACAAAAAGACCCCTTTAACAATCTAAGGATACACCCCCATTTCTAAAACTTGACTCATACATTAGTGGCATCTTTTTTATTTTTCATGTACCAGGGAAGTTCATTTACAATTCTGCTGCAAGTCAGTTTAAATTTTGGTTCAGCTATTTTAAAGGGATCCTATAGTGCCAGGAAAACAAAACCGTTTTCCTGGTGCTATAGGCCCTTGGAGTGCCCCCCTCCTTCGTTACCTCCCTCCCTCGGCACTGAAGGGGTTAAAACCCATTCAGCCACTTACCTTAATCCAGCGATGGGCTCCCTAGGTGCTAGTGACCTCTCCTCCCCTGCTGTCGTCAGCTCCCGAGTAGAGCCTAATGCGCATGTGCGGCCAAACCCGCTTATAGGAAATCACTACTCAATGCTTTCCTATGGGGATCTTTTTTGACGCTGGACTCCGTGAGGACGTCCAGCGTCAGATAAGTGCCATTTACGCTGTGTAAATCGCAGAAGCGCCTCTAGTGGCTGTCAGGGAGAAAGCACCTAGAGGCTGGATTAACCCTGCAGTGTAAACATAGCAGTTTCTCTGAAACTGCTATGTTTTCAGGTGCAGGGTTAAAACTAGGGGGTCCTGGCACCCAGACCACTTCATTGAGCTGAAGTGGTCTGGGTGCCTATAGTGGTCCTTTAAGATGAATTAATTTAACTCTGTTTAGTTACCATTCGGTTAGTGAATACAATGAACCACAGAGGAATTTTACCAACTGAATTGAAATCAACCGGAACTGCAAAAGCAAACATGGTGTTTAGTGAATAAACCACTTAATTTTTTTGTGTAATTCCCTGGTCTGTATCAGTGGAATTAGATTAACTGAATAAAGTTGCAAGATATTTTTTTGCACCTCTAGTGCAAGGGTGGCCTGGGACAATATCATCCCGGCTGCCCGCACATTACAGGGCGCATGGGGGAGCTGTGCAGGAGTAGCACAGTAAGTATATAGCTCTCTCCATGCCCATTGACTGCCCAGTATATTTGTGCAGAGCAGGCATCTGTGATGTTGGTAGGCAAGTACCTGTTCTTTCAAGTGAGATCCCCCAAATCACTGGGCATTGGCAGCCTCCTTGGCCACTGATTGGGCTTCTGCAGGCGAAAAATTGCAGAGGGGCGTAGGGTGCTTATCCCTGCCTTAGTGCAAGAAGTCAGGTCTGTAAATTTTTTTTTTTAGTACTCTGCAACTTGTTCTAATCTGAAAATACAATTTTCCTTTTAAACGACTGCTGAAAAGTCTGAGTTCAGTGTGTAATGGCACCCCCAGGCAAAAAAGGGTTAACCCACCGTTTAGTAGATCTTCCCCTTCCAGAGACTCAGGCACAGGTACTGTAGACACCAATCCACCGAACCGAAGAAGCATACGAATGCTCTCAAACATACAAATGCTGTAAACAGTCAAATAGGAAAAACCATACGAAAGGTTTACACTCCTAGCAGTCGAACTGGAACAGCATACAATAAATCCCCCCAAGAACAAGACAAGGCTCCGTGTTGAGGGTCAAAACAGGAACAGACAGAGCTGTGTGTTTATTGTTCTTATATACACATTCTTACACATTAGTACCACCCACAGGGTTTTGTAAAACAACCAATAAACACGTACAATACACTCAGACACTACCACACAAAATCCTCCCCTCTGCCTATGATACAATTACCTTACACAATGGGTTAATGTAATTATCACAGGCAGAGAAATACAGTTTTTCCACATTATTCATAATTTTAAAAGTATGCATCACATTTACATTTTCAGAATAAGCATACTCCAAATACAAACATATGTCAAAATCATACAAATTGGTCCAGTGGGTCAAAAGTTAGATCAAAGTCCTTTGTGACCAAATGAAGCATGGCTTTTCTGCCCAAACCCAGTTCCACAGAGTCCTCTAATTATGTTACACAATGGTTTAACATAATTAACACAGGCAGTAAAAATAAAGTTTTACACATAACCTATAACTTTAAAACCACACATCCAATCTCCATAAAAATGACATTTTCAGAATCAGCATACTCCAAATACAAACATTTGTCATCCAATTTGGTCCATTGGTTCAAAAGATAGATCGAAGTCCTTTGTGACCAAATGAAGCATGGCTTTTCTGCCCAAACCCAGTTCCACAGAGTACTCTATCCTGGAGATAATTGGGAAGTAATCCAATTATCTCCACGGACAGAGGCAAAACTCCATTAGCCACATGGTAGCAAAAGACAATAAAATACATAAAAATATATAACTTTGCAGCTATTGCATAAAACAGGTACATTCATCATATCCCCAGATAGCTTAGATCTGAGCCCACATTATTACTGAATGGCGCTCAGATCACATACATACAGTTCAATTGTCATGGAGCCAAAGTCTTTCACATAGTCTTTCGTTATACGAATGGGCTCCATGGCATAGCTATCTGGGGTATCACTGTTCAAATAGGGCAAGTACCGAATAACCCGGCTTTCGTGTCTTTGCAGGGGAAAATCAAGCATTTCAACATGGGGCCATAGTCTAAAGGCAGCAGACGGGCAACCAGTCTCCTCCAATGCACAGTGGCGAGATTGGTCTCGTCACACAGTGGTTAGCTTTCATAGTCTCAACCCCACACTTTCAATCCTTTTATTTATCAGAGGAATAAAACTGACAACCATACACATACTTTCTCATCTTATACTACAGAATCTTCATTGGTAGCCCTGCTGGAGGAGTCGAAGACAGATAGCTACTATGGAAGTAAATAGAAACAGATGGATCCTGGTCCCTTTAAAAGACCCATGGGATGCACAATGTCAGAATCTGTGAAAATGACAGACGACTCGACTGCTGTTCAATTGATGCGTGTATAGAGCTTCTATGCTGTATATTTATATCACCAAATTTCACCTTTGAAGCCAGTGCTACTTGCATGCGAAATGCTGCTAAGCATTTAAATTAGTCACTGCTTGTGCCTCAAGTGCCATTTGTGACTTTACTTATGGTAACACAGGAATAGAGTATCCCCCTGTGCATCTGTGTTTTACCATGTTAGCTAGTGTTGTTATTTTAATTAACTTAACAGAATTTGTGTAAAATATTTGCTTTTAAATTTATGTACAAAAAGCTAACAGTATAGAACAATGCAAATATCAAAATAGACAAAAGATGCACATTCAGCACCGGATTTCTCATTGGGAAGAGTAGACAACTGCCTACTGGCGCATGCCCTCTATAATATACCTTTTTGGAGACGAGGTGGGCTGGTAGGGAGACATACAGTTGTAATCAAAATGTTCAATCACCATTGAAAATCGGGTTTATTGTCAAAATTTACAGACTTTCAGCTGTTTGCAATGAACAAATCAAACAAAAGCAATTGAAATAGCTCAACACAACAAATGCTTCAAGTGGTTTACCAGGAGCCTTGGCCAGCATTCTATGTAGTCCAGGCAGCTTTATAGGCTTGATAGACAAGCTGCAGGAATAGGTATAGAGGGAGTAAAACTCAGTGCTGTCCCAGCTCCTCCAGTGTCTGTGTGTGAGGCTGGACAGAATCCCTTCCCTTCTGCCCACTAGTAACCTCTCACACAAGAAATGCCTTGAAGCAGGAGCAGGGACAGCACTGAGAGATACACTGTATATCATAGGACAGGCAGAACTGAGTGATACACTGTATATCATAGGACAGACAGCACTGAGTGATACACTGTATATCATAGGACAACACTGAGTGATACACTGTATATCATAGGACAGGCAGAACTGAGTGATACACACTGCATATCATAGGACAGACAGCACTGAGTGATACACACTGTATATCATAGGACAGCACTGAGAGATACACTGTATATCATAGGACAGACAGCACTGAGTGATACACACTGTATATCATAGGACAGGCAGAACTGAGTGATACACTGTATATCATAGGACAGTACTGAGTGATACACACTGTATATCATAGGACAGACAGCACTGAGTGATACATACTGTATATCATAGGACAGCACTGAGAGATACACTGTATATCATAGGACAGGCAGAACTGAGAGATACACTGTATATCATAGGACAGGCAGAACTGAGTGATACACTGTATATCATAGGACAGACAGCACTGAGTGATACACTGTATATCATAGGACAACACTGAGTGATACACTGTATATCATAGGACAGGCAGAACTGAGTGATACACACTATATCATAGGACAGACAGCACTGAGTGATACACACTGTATATCATAGGACAGCACTGAGTGATACACACTGTATATCATAGGACAGCACTGAGTGATACACACTGTATATCATAGGACAGACAGCACTGAGTGATACACTGTATATCATAGGACAGGCAGAACTGAGTGATACACTGTATATCATAGGACAGGCAGAACTGAGTGATACACTGTATATCATAGGACAGACAGCACTGAGTGATACACTGTATATCATAGGACAACACTGAGTGATACACTGTATATCATTGGACAGGCAGAACTGAGTGATACACACTGTATATCATAGGACAGCACTGAGAGATACACTGTATATCATAGGACAGCACTGAGTGATACACTGTATATCATAGGACAGACAGCACTGAGTGATACACTGTATATCATAGGACAACACTGAGTGATACACTGTATATCATAGGACAGGCAGAACTGAGTGATACACACTGTATATCATAGGACAGCACTGAGAGATACACTGTATATCATAGGACAGCACTGAGAGATACACTGTATATCATAGGACAGCACTGAGTGATACACTGTATATCATAGGACAGACAGCACTGAGTGATACACACTATATATCATAGGACAGGCAGAACTGAGTGATACACTGTATATCATAGGACAGACAGCACTGAGTGATACACTGTATATCATAGGACAGACAACACTGAGTGATACACACTGTATATCATAGGACAATACTGAGTGATACACTGTGTATCATAGGACAGACAGCACTGAGTTATACACTGTATATCATAGGACAGCACTGAGTGATACACACTGTATATCATAGGACAGCACTGAGTGATACACACTGTATATCATAGGACAGCACTGAGTGATACACTGTATATCGTAGGACAGCACTGAGTGATACACACTGTATATCATAGGACAGCACTGAGTGATACACCGTATATCATAGGACAGCACTGAGTGATACACACTGTATATCATAGGACAGAACTGAGAGATACACTGTATATCATAGGACAGCACTGAGTGACACACTGTATATCATAGGACAGCACTGAGTGATACATTGTATATCATAGGACAGACAGCACTGAGTGACACACTGTATATCATAGGACAGTACTGAGCGATACACACTGTATATCATAGGACAGCACTGGGTGATACACTGTATATCATAGGACAGCACTGAGTGATACACACTGTATATGATAGGACAGACAGCACTGAGTGATACACTGTATAACATAGGACAGTACTGAGCGATACACACTGTATATCATAGGACAGCACTGAGTGATACACTGTATATCATAGGACAGCACTGAGTGACACATTGTATATCATAGGACAGCACTGAGTGACACACTGTATATCATAGGACAGCACTGAGTGATACACACTGCATATCATAGGACAGACAGCACTGAGTGATACACTGTATATCATAGGACAGTACTGAGAGATACACACTGTATATCATAGGACAGACAGCACTGAGTGATACACTGTATATCATAGGACAGCACTGAGTGATACACACTGTATATCATAGGACAGCACTGAGTGATACACTGTACATCATAGGACAGCACTGAGTGATACACTGTATATCACAGGACAGCACTGAGTGATACACTGTATATCATAGGACAGCACTGAGTTTCATACTGTCCTGTTGAAAATTTTCATAACTTTCGTTTGACCAAACCGATGTGAGTGCTCAGATCGGGGCTATTCGGGAATATGATTATTGTGAGGTTCCTGTATTTCTTTCATGTAGTTTTGGGGTATGTTAAAATTGTATGAAAATTGTTATTTTCGGGACTATATATTCCCTTTAAGCATAGAGAAGCAGACAAAAGACATGCAGTGTGTGTGAATAAAAAAAAGTCTTCCCTGGGTTTTAAAGACTACTAACTCATTCTTTAAAGTGTATATTTATTTATTTTAAGATTTGCAGACCCATTTACTTCATTATTTCAGTGCTGGACTGCACAATCTTGGGACTCACTTGGGAAATAAAATATGCATCCAATTCAGGGCCAGTAGAGATGAATTTGAACTGATTCTTGAGTTCTTTGCTAATAAATTGATTATTTTGGGTGCAGATTCGCACCGGCTAAAACTCATCAAATGATAAATACCATAATTTATTTAAATCGCAGTAGAGTATTTTAAATCATTTTAAAATATGTTAGTCCTACTTTGCTACCAAACTTTGGTTTTAAGTAAGTAAGTGACTTTTTAAAATTTGCTAAAAGTTTGGGTCACTTCTGTTGATATTAACGAGGGGGTATTCACCAAACATTGAATTGTAGTAAACTACAGTATTGAGACTGAAATAGCTAAGCTGTGATCATCAGTTTGAAGATTTGTTCCAAATCATCTGTTATTGCCCAAATTTCACAATTTGGTTTACAGTTTATTACAATTGAATTAATCACTGAGTTTGTATGTATTTATTTTATATACTTGTATTTAGTTTTTACCTTCTGCATGTAAAGTGATTTGGAAGTGTAATCAGAATGCTATTATTTCGTTATACAATAAAAAGGCTTTTCAAGACTTATGTATTTTTGAAACAAATCAGATCTTATGCGTTTGCTATGAAATCCGTTAATATACTCACTGTACCTTGGAGACTATAGATTAACTATAAATCATTCACCTTTTTTGTTGCTTTCCCTGGAAGAAAACAGAATACACATCAATAACATGGGAAATAAAATAAATTATAATATGGGGATTGTACAGATGAGATTGACGTTATTGATATGTTGTGTTCACGTCTCATCAAGAATGAAAACTATTTTGGCAGATTGCATCTGTGCAAATGCTACTCCAAAAAGCACTTGGAATTAATTATACAATAGTGTGCTTTTTAAATATTGCATTTCAAAGTATATTTAAAATGAAAATGTCACCTCTCTCATTTTTGTGTAAATAATAGATTTTGGGTTGTGCTTTTTAAAGCAACAAATTATTATTAGTGTTATTATAATTATCATATAAATATATACCACAATCCCCAATGATTTACAATATTATAAAAATAGAGAAATAACGCAGCAGGTAAATCAAAAACAAAAAACAAAAAATTCACAGATGCAAGAAGTGTAGTCCTAACAAAATCGTCAAAGACCCACAAAGTTGACAGTCATTGTATCTTCATCAGCCTCTAAAAACCACTTTCTTTTAAAATTTTAGAACCTGATGTTTTTCTGAATAATCAGTTCACTAAGAATAGCCACCAGTTAGATCTCAGACCTGCAGATATTTTAAAACGTGTCATTTTACTAGATATTATCTCAAATTCAGCAATCTATTATTATTATTATTGTACTATAATTTAATTCATATAATACAAAAATGATCATGTTGCTTTTTATTGGTATATGTTTATTTTCATTTAGATAGAAATGAAAGTGGAGTATTTAGGAATTGTTTTATAAGGAAGAAGATGTTGAGATTGCCCTTTTTTTCGGGTATATTAAATACTGAAATGCTTTTTGCTTTTCAACCATACATCCCTGCTGATCCAACTCAGTGATCTAAGTGACTTAATTATACACACATATATCTAAATACATGTATTAATCTATATCCGTAAAACAACCATAGCATTGCCTATTAGCAGGTAAGGCTAAATGCTACATTTGTGTTCTTTATCTGTCATTAATGCTTATATATAAATAATTGAATTAACATACTCAACATCACAAACATTTAATTTGTGTGACTGATTTAAATGAATACATAGTGCCCTTAATGTACTGCCGATACAGTTTGTGCTATTTCAAGCAATGAAACATTTGCCATTACAGATATGTGTTTTTTTCCCCAAGACAACAAAAAGTGTAATTTTATTATGCTAATATTGAATGGGATATATGTGAAATATTAAGCAATATCTCTGTGCAAGCATGGAAACGTATTTAGTGCCTTTCAGTTACCAACTTGTGTGGTGCTACTTTAAGGGCTCAGGGCACCTGATGTGGGCCTTCGTTAAATGACGAGTGTGTGAGATCTGTATGGATTTGTGATAGATTAGAAGCTTGTTTGTGCAAGGCCTTCTTCACCTCTTGTCTATGTTAACATTTTGTGTGTGTCAACTACTTGTAACTAATAATTCCCACTCTGTGATTGTAAAGTGCTGTGGATTATGTTGGTGCTATATAAATTATAATAATAATGTGATACACAGTTTGTAGTTATTCACACAGTTTTCATGATTGTCACAATAATTTACCGTCAGCATGGTAATCTCTAAAATGTTGCTATCGATAGTGATTATTGTCTCATTCCATGCTACAAAACTAGGGCTTCTCTCCAGTGCAGCTGCTAAAAATCAGCTGGTAGATATATGTGGACACAAAATACAGATTGTGTCCAACCTGTCTAACTTTTGTGGCCTACTGCTTCTAACATCTGCCCAAACAAATACCCAACTTATTAGTGACCAACATGTTGCCATAGCATCCATAACCGGACAGTATAAAAGGCACACCCTGTGCATGCACACTTTTCATGTAATGGCCTTAGCTCTAATACAAGTAAGCAGACATTTCTTTTTTTATTTAATACAGTGCAAACTGTTATGCTGGATATGTTTATCTCTTCCATATTTCTGGAGACTGTAAATTAAAATTTGAGAGATAAATTTAACAATATGAAGATATCCTGTCCTTAAAACTTAACGTATAATTATTCTTATGTTTTATTTAAAGTGTTCTTTTTATGTTTTTGTTCATTCATTTTTAGCTACTTGTGTTTTGGGGGAGGAAGAGACATCTTTTTAATTTTTCTCATATTTCTTTCTGTCTGTGTATATTGGGGCTTTTGAAGAACTCTGTACACCGAGTAGGGTTCACCATTTTGCCACACACAAATGAATGGCCTTTTTTTGTGCATGCAGCTCACAGATTACTCTGTAGATTGCCCTATTCACATGGATCACAAACTATATGTATTTGTCATTTGGAGGCTTCTTAAATTGCAAAGTGTGGCATAATGCATCCCTGCAGTCTCCATAAGCATCAAATGCACAACATAATGACTTATTCACATAAATACATGTTGCCTGTGAGTTGTTGGCCACCGATGACAACCTGCATGTCTTATGAATATCATGGGCACTGTCTAGCACTTCCAGGGACATTATACATACTCATTGTCAGATACTATATCATACTCAGATTTTTTAGTCTTAGAGTGCCAGTCCAGGCCTGTAGTACATGGGGATTGTTACGCACCAGCCCAAGCAAAACCACACAAAGCTGGTGTAGAAAAGGCCCTTCTCAGTTCCTACCTGGAGTCTTAGTCCCGTAGTACTGTGCCAACTGACACCACAACACACTCTCTGCAATGGCAATGGGACGGTGTGAAGCTGCTGTCCCTATGCTAATGCCCAGAACTACATGAACATGCATACTGTGTGGCAAACGTGCCTATGCCATGAACTCCTGGAGGAACCTGCTAGCTAGCCTCCTGCCCAAGGACTATGGGCCGTGTCTAAAGAACCCATTCAGGAGTTAATCTCCCCAGCCGCCATTAGAAGCTTTCCCTCGATGCCCCTGGTTCTGCACTTTCCCTTGTTTGGAACTGAATGCTAATTCCCTCCCGGCCGTTCACATAAAGAAACCCACGAATTGTCCCCAGTGGTACTTTGCTGTGATGGTTATGGAACTAAATTCGGCATGAGGACTTTGTGGGTTCCCAGTCACTTCAGGTGAACTTAGCTGCGAATGTCATGGATCTGTTTTCGGCATTAGGTGACCGTGCGGTTTCCGCACAACTTGGTCCAGGGTTTTGAATGACTTTGCAACCTGCCAGGAGAGGGCTTTCTGAAGGGAAGGAGCCTGAGACTAAGGGGCACAAACGCTACCTAAGAGCCAGCCAGAGCACCCCATATTTCGGATGCAGGAGCTCATGTAAGTTGACCGGTCAAAGCACCACACGCCCTGGAACTGTTTTGGGCATAGGGCCATGTGTACGGCCGGTCACTTCAACACAGTGCCGTTTCCCCTTCACTGCAAGGATCTGAGCGCTATTTGCAGAACTTGGGTGCTCAGATTAGGGATATTTGGAGATGTATTATTTGTGGTGTTATTTTATGTTTTTATGATGTTTTGGGGTATTTTTATGTTTGTTTGCATCTCTATTCCTGGGAGATAATTAGCTTACCGGTCTTTAACACAATTATCTCCCAGGCACAGAGCTTCATGGGAGGGGCTTGTCTTGCATTGAATAGAGAGCCCATGCTGGGGACTGTGAATAAAAGCAGGCAACTTGACCATAATAAACCAGTTTCTTTTCACCCTTCACTCAGTTTCGACTAGCGTTTAGGTGGACCAGCTAAATAGCTATACTCTCTGCAGGAGAGCTTTAATCGCTAGATGCTGGATCCAGGACCCTGTTCCAGGGTGGGAAGTGACCCACAAAGACAGCATGCGTGCATTTATTGCTGCATACTTTCATTGAGGGTATATCTAAAAGCCGCTTACAAAAGCTGCAGATCATGTTGTTCGCCGTGTTGCCTTTTCATTGATGCTGTTATGATTAGCAGTGTAAAATGCATTGTTATTTCAGTTACTGTAGCCTTGTCCAGTCCCACCATTCTCTTCTGACCTCTTTCATTAACATTTTTTTTCTGCCAGAAGAGTCACTTACTGTATTTATCTTTTTGGCTTTCTAATTTTTGCACTGTTCTTTGTGAGCACTATAAACTAGTGTGTGTGAGAACATTATTAAATCAACACCAACAATCATTCCAAGGCCAAAATCCCTTAGATCACATTTGTCTCATTCCGATATTTATTTTGAACAAAAACTAAAGTCTTGACCATGTGTGCATGCCTTTATGCATTGATTTGCTGTCACACGATTGGATGATTAGATATGCGCATTATCGAACAGGTGTATAAGTGTAACTGATAAAGTGACCAATAAGTGTGTACATAGTGTATGTATTTTATGTATATTATATAACTATGTGTAATATTATTACAAAACATAGATCTGAACTTTGGTGCCACAAAATGCAATGTATTATAAGTGTAATCATGCTGTGGAAGACTTGAAGATTTCTTAATTTCATACACTCAACAGACCATTACTCTAAAGGTGCTGTCCTTCCCCTTTCTCTTCTACTGAACACTTTTATATGTATTTATGTTATTAGGAATTTCACTCATATTATTTTTGAATACTAATACCCTCCGCAGAAGTATTTCTTTAATCATTGATAGGTTAGAAGGCTTTGTTGCCATAGCAACAAAAAAACCTTCTTTAAAATTTCTGTTGTATTTCTGTGTTTAAAATAACAGAGGAATGGACAAAGTGACAGATCTATTTATATATATATTGTATACAAGAGAAATATCACCTTTAAAGCATTC